AAAGAAGTATTTTTATTTTAAAATGTATATGAATAATAATAAAATAAAAGAAGATGTAAGCAATACGATTTTCAACATCTTTCAGTCTAGGTGAGAAGCCTCCTGGAAATTCTAGTTGGCACACCTTAGTTGGAGTCTCTCTTTGGCAACACGTTTGCGTTACGCATGCTGGGATCCTTATAAAGAGGGTGAGGCCCATGACATCCACAGATGATACCAACACATGCAGCAAGTGGAAAGGCACTTCTTCTTTGGGTAAGACTCAGAGCACAAACACTAAGAGATATATTGTTGAGATAGGAGAGAGGCAGAGGAAACACACACACACACACACACACACACACACACACACACACACCAGAGAGAAGAGAGAGAGAGAGAGGAAGAGAGTGAGAGAGAGTAAGAGAGAGAGAAACAGCAATGAGGAATGGAGAGGCGGGGCTTAAAGCAAAAGGAGTTACAGCTCAGAGGAGTTTTAGACTCATAATGAAGCTTTGTGGGAATTGAGTTATCAGAAAGTTTTTCCAAAACATATTATTTCCAGGAGAAAGCATCAAAACCCATTATGTTGAGAAAGGGCTAGAATTATTGTGATTCTCTGTGTCGTAATGTGACATTTATTGTATATTTTTGTTTCTGCTTCACTCTGTATTCAAAGTAGGATGATTTCTGCATTCCTATTTGTTAAGAAATAAGCTTTTTGAGTCTTTTCACTTGGCGTCAGCTCTACATTTTACAGCATCCTTATATTCTGAAATTTTCTTTGCGCTCATTTTCCCCCTGTTTTTATTAGCATATATTAATTGAATAGAGAGATTTATTTTTATTTTGCCATACATGCATATGATATACTTTGACCAAATGTGGCTGCTCTAGTACTCTCTCTTACCCACCCCTCTCCGTCTGGCTCTCTTAATAGTAACTATTCATTTTTAGAAAATGTACTTCAAATAAATCTTGACATTTTGACCATAAGAGAAACAAATAGAAATAGTAGCTCAGCTCAGGAGTATTTTTAAAGCCCAGGGTTTAAATGTAATGAGACCAAAGATGGGCATAAATACTGAGTTTCTACCTCCAGTGGAGAAGCAAGGACTTCTCTCTTCATCATTATTATTTTACCTGGCCAGAATAATTGTATATACTATTATTCACTTTTTATTGCAAGAGAAAACTCTGGGATGTAGATATATTTATATATAGTTCATCAAACATGCTTGGGATGCTGTCCAGCTATTGGATTTGTTTGATGTGGGTGGAGATCTGAACATATTTTTAAAAGGAATTTCCCAAATGATTCGCAAATGTGCAGGCATGATTATAAGCACTCATTTGGCCTACCAACTTCATCAATATTTTAAGAATAAAAACCTCATTAATGTAGATGCTGTGCCTTTAGTTGTCATTATTATACTTCACTAATTATATTATCTTATTATATTGTTATATTTCACTAATTATATTCTGATATATCAAAGGATACACATTCCTTAGTGTTGTTCTTCAAATGAGACTGGAAGATACTTGCACATTTATATATTATAGGGTTTGTCACTATCTATACTCTGAAATTCTGGATGATAGCTCTGTTTTAGAATTTTTTTTCTCTTCCTTTCAGTAATTTTATTATGAATTCCTGCTGAATTTCTTGAAAAATTTCCCTTAGATCTCAAAAAAATGCTTATCTCCATAAATCTATTAGTATAGTCATCTATTGATACATATCTTTTTAAAAATTTTTTATTCATTTATTCACATGTGCATACATTGTTTGGGCCATTTCTCCCTCCTTCCTCCTCCTGCCCCTACCTCCCTCGCTTCCAGGCAGAACCTTTTCTGCCCTTTTCTCCAATTATGTTGAAGAGAAGACATAAGCAATAATAAGAAAGACAAACCATTTTTGCAAGTTGAGATAAAACATATCTTGACTTGAATTTTTCATCCATGACACACAGTTTGTAGAATTGAAATGCACTATTCCTTTAAAGAATTTTATCTGATTTTCAAATAAGTCTGCATATGTTTTCATAAGTGATTATATGAATTTCTTTCCATTTCTTCATGTGCTGTACACCAGGGTTTCTCAATATTGACAGTATAGACACTTTAAGCTGGACATTTATTCCTTTGTGGGGGTTGCCTTGTGAATTTTGAGTGTTTAGCAGTATTTGTGGCCTCTATTCACTAGACTGCCAGTAATACTCTCCGCCTTAGTTATAACAACCAAGAGTCTCTCCTGGTGCTGCCACATGATCCCAGGAAGCAATGCTTCTTTCTTTCAGTGCTAGATAAAACTTACATAAGTAAAATATTCTCATTTTTTATTAAGTGTGGTAGAATTCGCCAATCAAAACACATGGCTTTAGTATCTTTTTCAGTAAGGGTTTTTCCTTGTCATTTCTTCTCTGGTTGACTTGTTTGATGATTGGTGTTTTTCTATAAAGTTGTCTATTGTACACATGTTAAATATATTGTTATATGTCTGCACATTATTTTATTATTTAAGGTTTTATTTATCTAACCATTGTTTTGTTATCTTGCTTATTTTCCATGTGTTAAATTTATGTCTAGATGAGTATTGAAAAGAAGTTCACTTACAGGCTTTTGAGTAGTCAACTTTGTTTTTCCCTTTTATTTTGTATCAAGTGCTTTTTTTGATGTTTATTTAACTATTTTCCTAGCTTCTTATACTGGAAACTTAAATAAAATATTTCCATCCTGCTTTTCTAACAGCTGAATATTCTTTGGGCTATAAATTGCACTCCAATGCTGATATGTGCAATTTCTTATTGTTATTTATTTTTTAAAAGATTCTTTTACTCTATTACATATTTCTTCTGTCATAGACAACATACTAATAACTGGAAGCTGCTATTGGTTTTGAGTCACTGTCATTTTATATTAATGTTATTATTTTACTAATAAAATGATAACTTAATTATTTTAGGTTAATTTAATAGTTCAGATTAGATTCTGTCATGATTTATAAGAGAATATTTTGTATCCAGTTAAAACTGAGGTGGACCAAGAAAGAAATATTAGATGTTGAGTAGAAAGGTCTTGGTATCTGATTGGAAGTTATATCAGTTAAAGAATACAGAATGACTTCCGGATAACTGGATCATTTTATGAGAATGTAAGCTTTAGGTGAAAGTGATTAATATGCTTTTGAACGTATTGAGTTTGTTTTACCAATGAAAATACACACAAATATGCCCAGAAGATGTTTTAAATTCAGGTCTGGAACCCAGAAAGCAGATCTGTTGTTTGGATATTTATTTGAAATTTTTCATTATATAGGTGAAGTATGAAGCTGTGAAAATGGGTGTGGTAATTTTCAAAATAACTTGAGAATGGGTAGAGGGTACTAGCTGGAGGAGACCGTAAGTAAGCATATGTATTTCAGGGGAAACCACAAAGAGAAAGAAAGAACTGAGTGACACAGAGAAATAACAATTAGTGTCATATAGTAGATGGAGGGAGAAAATTTTCTAGGGGGAGTCATCAGCAAAATATGTAAGAGTTGAATAAATGATATGGTCACTAAAATGAATCAACTAATTTAATTTAGTAGAAAGCATAGCCTAGATAGCTTTGCACACAGGGACCATCAATACTAAGTTTATGTCACAGAAAGGCCTAGAGCCTCATATCTGCCCAGTTCACATGGAATTACATTTGATACATACCATTCTTCTCCAAAGATAGTATGTTGACTAGAATGTCTCTGTAAATAGAATGTCTCTGTAAAAGCACACATCTGAGAAATGTTTGTCAGGAACATTTGTCAGCCTGGCTTAGAGACTCCTCCTGCACATTGCTCAGCAATATTGAATCAACATGTTGACATCAGAAATGACAGTTCAAGCTCTTCTACTGCTTAACTGCATAATTTGGGGGCAAATTGCTGAACTTGAATATCAGTTTTCATATATATATATATATATATATATATATATACACATATGTATGTGTATAGGTTAGGAATTTTATTTACTTCCTTAATAGTTCTGATGATGGGGTCAGATTGTAGATGTGAAGATGATGATTGTATCTATCACATGGTATGTGTTCATGAAATTCTGGCTATTATGATTCTTTGAATTTCAATAGCCAGCATTATTATTGATCATAATGTAGTCCTTACTGCACTGTGTTAAAAAATGGCAAGGTTTTCTTCCTCCCTTCCTCCCATCTCCTGTCTCCCTGCCTTTCTCCTCATCCATTTCTCCTCTTTCTCTCTTTTTCTATTTCATTATCTCATTCTCTCTTTCTTTCCTCTGTTTTTCTTACATTGGCATTTTCTCTCAACAGTCAGGCAGTGCCTTGTAGCAATAACCTTGTAATAAATTATTTAATTGCTGAGTCTTAGTTCTGTCATCTGTAATGTACACATGCTGTGATCTAGCTCCTTGAGTTGAGGCATGGATAAAATTATGCAATATATATAAATGACAGCAACACAGGGAACTCAACACATGAGTTGAGTTTTTCTTAGGTGACTTAAAGAGCCACTATGTCATCATATACATAGAGAGAGATATTTGTATCTCAGATATATTTTGACATTCATCTGGATGTTTATGAAGAAAAGTTTCATGATATTCAAATTTCAAAAATGACTTGATTTGCTCAGTTCTTTATACCAGAATCAATAATTTATTGTCAAAAACTAGTGGAAATTGGATTTCTCATTATATTATTTAGGCATTTTACTGGGGACTTTTACTGGTAGGGTGAAAGTGAGCACTGTGATTTTATTGTGATCTTTTTGCCACTAAAGAGAAAGATTAATTGGATACAGAACAATTTTTTTTAGTAAATGAGTAACATCAAGAGGTTGGCAGAGGGAAGCTTGCAGCTTTAGTAAACTCAGAAAAAAATAAAGTTCTTTAAGAATTAGCAATAATAATTGAATGAATCTTGAAGTGTCCAAAAGATGTTCTAAATGATAAGCTATATATTTATTATGTATATGTTCAATTATTCAAGTATCCCTGTCTTCTCAGTCCTTCACTATGATGGTCCTCAATAACACCAATGCTTAGCCTTTGATCTTCTTCCTGACTGGTATCCCAGGCCTGAAAGCAGCCCAGGTCTGGTTCTCCATTCCCTTTTGTCTTCTGTATGCCATTGCAGTCTCTGGAAACAGCTTGATCCTGATGGTGGTCTTCTATGAGCAGAGCCTTCATGAGCCTATGTATTATTTCCTTTCCATGCTTTCAGTCATAGACCTGAGCTTGTCCTTGTTTACACTTTCTACTACCCTTGGCGTCCTCTGGTTTGAAGCCAGAGAGATCAACTTAAATGCTTGCATTGCCCAGATGTTCTTTCTCCATGGGTTTACTTTCATGGAGTCTGGGGTTCTGCTAGCCATGGCCTTTGATCGTTTTGTGGCCATCTGTGACCCACTGAGATGTACCACCATCCTTACCAATGCCAAGATTGCCCAGATTGGGTTGATCCTGTTGATAAGAAATGTTGCTGTCATGTTGCCAGTTGTGCTCTTTGTCAAGAAGTTATCCTTCTGCAGTTCTCTGATCCTTTCACACTCTTACTGCTACCATGTTGACCTCATTCAGCTCTTATGCACTGACAACAGAATAAACAGCATCCTTGGATTGTTTGCACTATTCTCCACTACAGGGTTTGACTGCCCCTCCATCTTGATCTCCTATATTCTGATCGTTCGATCTGTCCTCAGCATTGCTTCCTCAGAGGAGCGACAGAAAGCCTTTAATACCTGCATATCCCACATCAGCGCTGTTGCCATCTTCTGCATCCCTCTCATCAGCTTGTCTCTTGTCCACCGCTATGGCCATTCAGCGTCTCCATTTGTTCACACCATCATGGTTAATGTATTTCTGCTTATTCCTCCTGTACTCAACCCTATTATCTACAGTGTGAAGACTAAGCAGATTCGAAAGGCTATTATCAAGATGTTAATTCAGAAGCAGGGACAATTCTAATCCCTTATGTCAGAGTGGATAAGGACATTTATGAGTAAGCCTATTGGTAGAATTGGGTAATTGTACCCAAAGTACCAAACATGCCTCCAATGGTCCAACTTATTAAACTTATAGTTTGTGTGATATTTGCTTACTCTGTCAGTAAATAAATACCATCTAAAATATGAGTTTGTTTTCAATATAAAGTAAGATACTATAAGTAAACAACTTCTCATATTTGCAAAGAACATTAGACATACATGAAATAATAGTCCAGGCCCTGTATACAATTTTAAGAGGGTATGTTTAATGTGGGTTAGTTTTAAATAAGCCAGGTTTCTCTTCTTAATGACACACAAAATTGCTTTAATTAGTTGGGTTTGTTTTACTTAAAACTCTTGATTGTCTGCATGCTTCTAAAATTATTATATTATGGAATAAATCCTAAAATACATAGCAATGTAATTTGATTTTCAGTCTTGCATAGGTGGATCTCTTGTGCCCTTTCTTATGTGCAGTGACTTAGCCAATGTAAATACAAAATACCATATAATGTACTCAGATTCTGTTACCACTTCCATTAGCTGAATAGTAAATGTAAATAATGATATTACTACTATTCCAAGAATGGGGATAACGCTTTTCCGGATATTTTATCAAGTTTAAGGTTGATAAAAGGGAAATTGTATTTTTGGCTCATTCTTATCTCTATCTTTGCCATTGTGACTTCATTTATGGGTCACTGGAAAGAAAAAGAGAACCAAGGTGACTGATATCCATACATAGACAGTTGGTACCATAGGAGTTGTTGAGCTCCTATGGGTTTTGTCTGATGATATTAATGTGAGATACTAATGTTTTCACCCTTTCTGTCCATTTCAATATGCCTATCATATTCATATTCTATAGATTTCCTTATCTCTTCCAATATTGCTAATTTCATATCCTAATCAACTACTTAAGCCTTTCAACAAAATTCAGAAGTCCCTGGATTTCTACTTAACTCAAACAACCTCACTTCCATCCAAAGTTAACAAGGATGGAAACCTCTGCCCATTACAACAATTTTAATTCAGCACTTTTCTTTGTAGCAGCCCATGTGTGGGACTGTTGTGCTACAGTATTCCATTTTTTGCAACCATCAGTGAATTAAGCCTGAATATCTTCTCATTTTCAGCAATTAATCAGGAACATCTGCCAAGGCAATAGATATGAATTCACGGAGAGGCAGCCATATAACATTGGTATATGCCATGAAATTCTGGACCAAATCTTCAAATAATTTATTTGTGTTTTTTAAATGCTGCGTTACATCTTTCTTAACATCGTTCAAACAGCATAGATGTGGATAGAACTGCTAATTGCATTGTTCCCAACTATACACTTAAACATCTGAAGAATAACCATGGTAAACCTGAAAAATCACTAAGTTCACTAAGATTTAAAGATTAAACCAAATAATCACTTTCTGTCGGTAGTCTTATAATGAAAAAGAACATGATGTATGTTCAGATGTTTATTATCAGTGAGAGATTAGCACTTGTATCCTCCGAGTCTGGCTAGTCTTTTAATATGCATTGCCATGTGTATTTCAGGTTAGGTTGGCCAGAGGCTGCCTTCTGATGATTAGGTTGGGTCTCCAGCTTGCTAAAATCTTAGTCATGTGGTACTATTGACATGATGTGCACACACATACCCAAGGCGAAGTAGAAGATGTAGAGAAGCTACCTTACCTAGGGTTCTGGCTCATTCTGTCTAGGTTTTCTGGTTGTGCCATTCTTTTCTCAGAGGAGAGTTGAGAGCAAACTCAGTGACTAAATGCCAAAGAGAACTTAGCTCTGGCAAAAATATATAGTGCTAACTAATGGAGTAAAATCATATCCTGTAGGAGTAGCCCACCAAATCACACTGAACCAGGAAGAGAAAAATCTCTTTTGTTCCAGTGTTCTTCTGCCACCCTCTATTATCAAGAATTAACTCCATCCCAGATGAAGAAACAAAAATATTTACAGACCCACGTCATCACCACAGAATAGGCAAAAAAGAATTTGAAAAGGAGGGATCACAAATTAATAGTGAGCCAGCCCCTACAATGAGTGAGTATTACTTAATCTTGTATAATCTTATTAAATATGTGTCACAAAAATTTAACCAGGGAATTAAAAGGAAATTATTTCCCCATTGGCTCCCATTTCTCTTTGGTCAAAAATTTACTTCATGATGTCTTAATTTCCCCACATATCTTGGTTGTGCATGCAGGAATACCAAGTGAGTAACTGTGCATGCCTCATGCCTGTGCCAGTCCTGAGGCAAAAAAACAAAAGGTTCATGGTGCGCGCCTATTGAGAGGTGTTTTCAAGTTCTCCTGTAGCAATTATTGGCTGTGCCTTGTTGCTGCGACAGTGATTGGAAAGCAAAGCTGAAAGATTTGCAGTGATGCAAAACTCAAAACTTCTTCTATCCTGGAGAGCTTCACAGATAGGTTTACAGATAGGTTCACAGATCTGGTTATCTTACCATGAGGGTTGGGTCATTACTCCAGCTGTCCTGAGAATCCACACTTGTTCTTTTTGTTGTTTTTGGTGCAAGTTCTGTTAACTTACTTTACTCCATTAGTCAAGTCAGATGATATCCTTACCAACATTTGTATGTATATTTAAAACCTGAAAAAGAGAAGATAAATAATTCATGGAAATATCTTCACGGACCAGGTCTTTTAGATATGATGGGGATAGCTACAGGGAAATGGAGAAAGTACAATGAGCACATGGATCCCACAGAAATAATTTCAGGAATGGCTGATAATAACAAACTCCTTTTTCAGGAATATTTAGCATTGCTAAATTCATACTCTTTTACATCACAGTAATATGAACGGAAAATAAAAGAGAAGAATAAGGGAAAGAAGAAATGTAGGGAGAGATGCCACAGTGCAGCAATTTGAATGAGCAAAACAAAACTGAAGAAGTTGAAGATGGCATTTTGCTGACAGCTCCAAATGCTGGAGCTCCCACAAACCTGAAGGAACATGGAAACTGAGGGTTCTTTGGAAAGACATCCCAGGTTCCACAGGCAGTTAGAAGCAGAAATCTACCTGAAACTAAAATGAGTGAAACAATAGAATACATGGAGAAATTTTGCAGTTTTGCAGTTCCCTGCATCACCGGAGCAGGGCTGAGAGAACTGAAACCTTCAGCACAAGAATCACTTGGAGAAGGTCAGTGCCTAAGCAACAAAAGCGCCCAGCAGGCAATATCCTGAGGAAAGTTGCGGGGACCCAGTGAGCACTTGCTGAGCCACACCACGTTGCAGCCCAGAACAGAAGCCTTTTCTGGGGCCTGTGGTGAACTTCCCTGGAGTGCTCACTACTGCTCCCCTTGGAGCTAGAGTGCTCACCACTGCTTCTGGTGAGATTCCTATCTGAGCTCTAAGACGACTGGTAGAAGCCCTGTGAGGATCAGGTTCCCAACAGAGACAATTTACTGGGACCCAGCAGCAGCCCACAAAGGTCACAGGGAATGGGGCACAGTGTGGTGGTGCTCCTAACAGGTAGCTGCACCTCCAGCCTCTCCAGAGATTGGATGACATCTGGACAAAAACCTGCACTTGGTGCTTAACTGTAGCCTAAGTTTTGGGGACCTTGAGAGAGGGGAACATTGCAAGTGTGAATGGGGTGTGGATGGCAAGTTGTCAGTACAAACTCCAGAGAGTTGGATCTATAAACATCCCTCTCTCTCCAGCACCAGTCACCAACCCAGAGGCAGGTATCTAATTTAGCCTGCCATCTAGTGGACTGAAAGACATAGAAGGGCTGAGAAAGAGCAACAGCAATAGAAAATTCACAATTTTTATGTAAAATTTATGTCCATTGCTGCTGATACTGTGATGTAAATCTCTTACTCATTTACTTGCAGCTATTTTTTTCTGTACATTTAACAGTGGTTTGGCCTTTTGTTCCCCAATTCCCTGTTTTGACTTACCTCCCTCCTCCACTCTCACTGCAGTCATTTGTGAGACCTCTATAAGGTACCTGTAAGTTTGCAACCCTAAACCAAACATCTCTTCTCCCCTTTCTACCACCCTCCCCAAGTTATACTGTCTACTTGTCAACCACCATAACAACTCCCTAGATTTCAATTTCCTTCCTCTTTGTCTACCCTCCCACAATTCTCCTTCACTACCAATAATTCCAATACATAAAGGGATTCCCAGATTTTCTTTTCTCTTTTTTTTCTGTTCTGGAGAGTTCATATTTGTTTGTGTGTTCAACTTTCTCCCTTATTCTCCCCTCTATTTTATTAACTGCCTGACCCCTTCTATCCATCCTGGTCTGCTTCTTAATTAATATCTTATATTAGCTTAGCCACCACCCTGTTCTACTACATAAACTTTTCACCTCATATTACCCAGTAGAACTTTCCCTCTGTCTCCCTCCCATCACAACTCTTATGACCTTTAACTTTCTGGGACCACAAAGATTCACTTTTGCTCCAATAGAAAACCAAACATACTGGAATACTAGAAGTAACTGATCTTCATCAGAGATTACTGTAACATTTCAAGGCTGCAGTTCAATAAGTATGACAAGATTAATAGATAAGCCTCCTTGCCCTATGTAGAACAGGGGGTAGAAATCAACATCTTTACAATAAGAAGGTGAAAGGATTAATATTGAGCCACTGACCCCCATCTTGAGACAAGAAAACATATCAGAGTTCAACCACCACCCTGTCTGCTACAATCTCCCATAAACTCCCAACTAAAGAGGCACAGGGGACTGGAAATTTGAACCAAAAACAACCCCAGATGCATAAATCTCAACATGGAAACATTAGGTGGCAAAGCAATAGCTCTCTCTCGAAAGCCAACTCTACCACCAGGGACTGAAACAATAGTGGCGAGGAGAAAAATATCAAATAGTGAATACCAAAAAATAATAGTAAGAATGATTAATGAGCTCAAAGAAGAGACACAAACTGGTGTCTGAACTCAAAGAGAGCATAAATAAACAACTAAAAGAG